TTTGTGTTTGGGGGACATTTTCAATCTAATTATATGTTGCTTTTAGCACTAGTCTTATAGAATATGATTTCCAGCTCCTCTAAGTAAAGGCAACCTTTTTCATTATCTATTTTGCCCATTGTTGTTAGTATCCTATCAACTAAAATCCCTAACAAAATCTACAAAAATTAATTATAACACTTTCACTGTAGTCAGTAAGTCCTCGACACTCTCACTAGTAGTTGGTTTCTTGGTGAGTGGATTAATTTATGCTAACCCTTGTGTTATTGCAAATTTGTTGAAAGTTGCTAGTTCTCTTCTTGAGGTGGTAAAACTTATTTTTAAACTGGTCATAGGTATATGACTTGTTCATTCTCCAATTGAAGATCTCCATAATATATTTCCAACCATCATTGTTAAACATTGAGGTTGGTCTATTGTAAGTCTTTACATGATCAACCATTAGCTCAATGGACGCTAGTTCTTCAGCCTCATTCCATGTGGCCAATTCATTAAACCTATCTTTTTTCACTTCTTCCAATTGGGATGCCATAAATGTCGATGGAGGATGAATGGGTTTAGGTGGAACAAGAGCTAAGCCCATCCTCAGAGATGGGTGATTGGTGCATCTTTCACTTAAGTGAAACAAATAAACATGTTAAAAAAAAATGGTCCATTTCAATATTCCAAGTGAAATGAATAAGATACACTTGAACACCAACGTATGAAGGAGATGAAAGATCAAAAGAGAAAAAGTATTAACCATAACATAAACAATTTTTTTCATAGGTCATAGATGAATCCAAAATATCATATTACTTGATGTTGATCATCTTGGTTAGTAGTCTTTGAACTTTTGATGTTTGGTGACCAAGGGTCCCACCTATCAACACAAAGATGTTAGAGGCCCCAGTTGTGCTCCTAGCGGTGAGGACTCTAACGGTCAAGTTAGTCTAGGCCTCTAAGAGTTGAAGTGCCAAGGTGGTATAAGAGCAAGAGCAAACAAGAATATTAGAATCATAAGAGAGATGACATGTGGTTAGTGATCCATACTTATAAGTAAGGCTCCTAATGGAGGCAATGTAATGGACTCTTTGTAATGGCTTCGCAAGTTAGGTGTTATTAATGTTAGAGAGTGTATGCCCTTAGCTCTAATCAGATTGATGTATAGATATATTTACTATAAATGAATAAAAGTACACTATTGTTTCATATTGATATTGGTATGTTTCTGTGTAATTACCCCTTAAACTGGGCACTTATGAGACTTGTGTTTGTTTAGAATGTTTTTAGCTGTTGGATAGACTTGGGGAGTTTATCTTGCCAAGGTTGACACTGATGTGCTACCAAAGAAGTTGGGGCAGCTTGTCTCAGTTTCTAAGGTTAGACCCAAAGCACATGTAGTGTGTGTTTGGGTGAAACACTGAACATGAACCATTTTCCAATTATGTCCTAGACCTTGGAGAATGATGGGCAAAACTAGAAAGTTACACATAACCCATAGACTTGATTATGATACTAAACTTGGTGTTGAATTGAGGTGTCTTTGATATGTCAATCAGTGAGAGACGTCAAGGGTCAAAACCTAGGTATATTGGGGCAGTTTGAGAATTCACCTAAGTGGATGATCATAATGATATGATCAACCCCTTTATCAAACAAAGTGAATGATAGGGTTTACACTCTCTCTGATGGAAACCTGAACTGTTAGTGGTGAATTTCAATAGTGTTATGAAATATGGTTTTGCAAAATATATTTATGATATATATATAGGGCCCATATTGAGCCCATAGTGATGTGTTCAAGGGTTTACTATGTTTAGCAATAAATTCGGCTAAGCCTTTTCATGGAGGCTGGGTTGAACCCATGTGTACTTATGTGAGGTCATTGTGGGGTTCCACACCATACAAATTAGGCCTAAGTTAGTCATGTAACATCTTGGGTCATGAGCCTTTGAAGGAAATGGGCCTAAGGCCCATGATTAATAAGATTAAGTAAGTTGTCACATAACAACGTTGTCATGTGCCCTAGGTTAAATCTGGGTTTCGAAGTGGGTATAGAACACCCATCCTCTTAAGAGGATAAGGCTTATCTATTGATAGAGTATAGATTCAAATTAGATTTGGATAATCTCCTAACTTGATTAGGAGAGTTCTCCATAAGGTGATAAAAGAAAAAGAGGGTGAACCAGACTAGAAGACCACTCTTTCTTGTTCTCTCTTCTTCTCTTTTGTCTTCCAAGAAACTCTATCACGACCTATTCAAAGACTGATAGAGATCAATTTTCTTCTGAATTTTGCAAGAAAAATTTAGTGGAATTTTAGGCTCACCTTCCCTAATTCGATCAAAGCAATTGGGTTGCAATTTTGCTGAAAACTATGTTGCTGAATCAGTTTCACCTATGCACTGCACCTTATTCAGTGGAGGCTGGTTTTAGGACTGATTTGGGCGTGAAATTCCACCTTGGGATCTGCATTTGTGGTATCTGTATCAGGTATAAATCTCCCTCTTTGTTTGGTTTCAAATCTGGTCCGATTCAATGCAAGACCAATCCTGAAAAATGCAATTTTTTAAAACCTAGGGAATTTGATTCCTAAAGGGATTTGGAAAATTTTGAAAATTTGCCTAGCCATCTAGTATGATTCAACCATCCATATGATAGATCCTAACCCTTCCAACAGTGGTATCAGAGCACTAGATTCAACCCTTGGACTGAACCAAACCGAATTTGAGCCAAAACTCTAATCAGTAAGAACTAGTATAGCCGATTTGAATAGTTAGTAGAAATCTCTAAGAATTCGATTCTTAGAATAGGCCAATGATCTGAAATATATATATATATATATATATATATATATATATATATATATATATTATAGAATTGTTCTATTATGGATTCTTGAAATTTTGGGTTGAAAGTGTGATGAAGATTGAACTCTTGATGGTGGCAAGATTTGTGCACATCAAATTTATTAATTTGATTATTTGGTCTATAATTATTTTTTTTTCTTCTCTAGAAAGAATGTATTAGGTTTTTCTGATGTAAACAATAGAAATTAGGGTTTTTCTATTTCTTTACATTGGAGAAATCGTTGGAGATAGCTGAAAAGACAGAGATTGCAAATGGAGAATAATCTGCAGATTGTAGTTTCGTAGGAATGTAGTTTTTGTCTGGAATGGATTCGGACCATCATGCTATCAACCCTAGCATTTTATTTTTTATTATATGCTATTTATTTGCTAATATGATTATGAATCATAACTGAGAATTTTAGATCATTACCTATGTGAATTGATGCATGTTTTGGACACTAAACCTTAGGTTGATCTGACCTAGTTTTGGTCCAATCTTGTTGGGCCGAACCTATGGTTCTTTGGGGTCTGATCACAATCCCTTGGATCATTGCTTAAGTGACCCAAAATCAATTTCAGACCAGGGGTTTGATGGGCCACTGCATGGACCAATTCGGCCTATATTTGAAAAACCCTTTTATGTTAGATTAAAGCAAAACTAGCCCATTCAACATTGATTGTTATATGGGCCAAATTGTTTTTTGCAATTTAGCCCATATGGCAAGATAAAGTTATTGGATAATTTGGTCCATTGATGGGATGATCATGTGTTAATCTAAATGGATATGGGTTTTACAAGTTTTAAATTAATATGGATCAATTATGTATGTATATGAGATGTGCTGAATGGATGTGATTCGTTCATGGGCCATAACTGCTTGGCCCATGTATTGACTTATGTTGCTCTCCACGATCATCTAACAACTTCTAAATAGCCTCACCCAACCTGTATCTAGTTCAACCTATCAATCTGGTTGGGTTTTCAACCTGTTAATCTAGTTCAACCTGTTTTACTAAGTTATTTTTCTTCTTTTGTGGCTAAGCACCATATGAATAAATTAATTGTCCTATTAATCTGGTTCAACCTGTTTTACTAAGTTATTTTTCTTCTTTTGTGGCTAAGCACCATATGAATAAACTAAAGTTATTGGATAATTTGGTCCATTAATGGGATGATCATGTGTTAATCTAAATGGATATGGGTTTTATAAGTTTTGAATTGATATGGATCAATTATGTATGTGTATGAGATGTGCTGAATGAGTGTGATTCGTTCATGGGCCATAACTGCTTGGCCCATGTATTTGACTTATATTGCTCTCCACGATCATCTAACAACTTTTAAAGAGCCTCACCCAGCCTATATCTAGTTCAACCTATCAATTTGGTTGGGGTTTCAACCTATTAGCACCATATGAATAAACTAATTGTCTTGCTAAGCACCATATGAATAAATTAATCTGGTTGGGTTTTCAAAATATTGGGTAAACTTCTTTAAACACATAATCTCTTTACATGAACTTGAATTCAAAATATTGGGTCAACTCCTTTTAAACACTTAAACAGCGTCACACAGCATATCTATAGAGGTTCATCTTTCCAAGTTTTTCATCACTTCAGCCTTTAGCATGGATTGAAAAAAGTGTGCACCACTTTAAGTACTATAATTTTTCTTATTTTTTCAGACAATCCTTTTTTAGATGGTCCACATGGTTTACTTGGAAACATGTTGTCATGCCACAGATTATTTGAAAATGATTTTTTTTATTGGAAATGCTTATTTAAAAATTAATATAGCAAAAGTGAAACATAATCGTTACATAACTTTTCCTATTTATGGCACTATTGTGTTGTGACCGAAATGCAACCAAATTCAAATGCAGTAGTACCTTCTACAGATCCAAAAGGAATACTGCATCTTCAAGACCTAGCACTACAAGAAAGTGAGGATTTAATGGCGTTTTTCTTATTGACATTTATATAATTGCCACTATATATTATTTTTAATGGCGTTTATTAAAATCGCCATTATATATATTTTAAGTGGCAATTATTAAAATGCCGTTAAAAATATATTTAAATTGGCATGCGGATAACACGATTGATTTCACTTCTACATCAATGGTGTAGATTTAACGGAAATTAATAAAAATTGGCATGCGGATAACAATTTCTTTCCGCGCCCATTCTTCTTCTCTCTGGCAACGCGCATCTCCTCTACCAAAACCGCATTCATCAGAAGCCACCACAGCAGAGAACCCTAATTTTTTCGCTTAAGACTAGTGTGTTCTTCTCTCTAGCAACGCACGTCTCTAGGAAACCCCTATCTGAAGATGATGCTCTTTGTATTTCAAGTCCAATCCTAGAAAAATGCCACCAATCGAAAGGCCTAGCAGAGGAGGATTTCTCTTCCCATCGTCTTTGTGTCGTACCTTGTCGTAGATGCCCCCTGTCATCATTAATCTTCAGTTCAAAGGCCAAACTGAAATGCCATTGCCATTGTCTGAAAGAAATCGTCCGAATTGATCGAATCCCAACGTCATCCTGTAGCATCAGTTCAACATTCTAAGACTCTAAGAGATAAACCCTTTACCACATCCTTTCTATTTTGATCGAAGTTATGTTTATTGCTTGAATAAGTAGTTTGTTAGTTGTGTTCTTTTCGGTTTTAAATTTTAGTACAAAATTTTTTAAGCGAAGAACCCATTTTTTTCTTTGTTTTACTTTTATTGGTAATGGACAATTAATTTCTCCAAATCTTGAGTATTTAGATTAGGTTTATTTATTTATTTTTTTTATTTTTTGGTAAAAGATTTTTTCGATTGATTGATTTTTTATTTGATTTAAGAAATGATCACCACCTTCTCACTGTCGGGTGGCTTTTGATAGCCCATCTTGGTATAGGAGAGCAGTACCGAGTAGAAGCAGGCCATGCTCGAGCCAAGCTGCGTGTTGAAGATAAGAAGGAAAGGGAGAGGTAGAAGCAACTGGCCACGCTATTGTTGAACCATATATACGACAATATTATATTTTAATTTCTTCAATTATCACCGAATTGTTTTAGCAAGTTTGATTGTTGAGGTGTTAGTCTACAGCATGAAATTGTACCTTCCCAATTTCATTGAATGCTTTATTTTTGTTCAGATTTCATTGAAATTCATTCTTTTATGAATGCTTTAACAGTTATAAATCTGGATTTGCTCCTCATACCAATCTCACAGCACTTGCAGACGCACACTCCCGTCTTTGTATGTGGTTATTCATGGGAAGATATTCCCAATACACATCTACAAGGAGTAAATCTGGATTCAACTGTTATAGGGTGTGGCTTATTTCAGTGTTCATGGACACGGGTACTGGAATCAGAATATATATGGTGCATGTCTGAGATTTTGACTCAAGAAGACAAAAGAACAAGGACTATAGACACCTCCATAAAACGCAAGTATAATTTATAGAAGTACTAGAGAATGACCCTGTACTAACAGAGCAACTGCTGTATCATTTAGTTTGAAATGATTTAAACCTCCCCTGAATTTTGTGATAAATACTTGTACCTCTCTTCTAATCTTTTATAGGACTTAAACCACCCTTTAAGGACATGTCCTTACATTTGACAAAATTCATCAAAAGACATTTTAACCCTTCATCATTCTTTAAAATTTCAAATAAACCACTAAAACTGTAAACTCAGTGAATAAATGGGATGTGATGACTTGTGGGACTCTCCCTTCATTGAAGCAAGCTATCTAGGGCTTCCTTTCAAGTCCTACTTGATTTACAAAAGACATTGCATGTCATGTTGAACTTGAAGGCATCTCACTCGAAAAGAAATAATGCTATACTTCTACTTAATTATAGACACCACAAGAGTCTTGATTCTTCAATTTGTAGGTTTCATCACCTACCCATTGGGTTAATGGAGGAAGCTCTTGAGTCATTTAATGAAAGCCAATAAGGCTTTCAAAACTAGAGAGAAGTGAATCTTTGAAAATTATTTTTGGAAAACTCATGAGCTATGAAGTGAATTGGCACTGCTTGGGGTTGTTTCCCTTTGTTTTGCAAATTACTTTTATATATTGACTCGTGAGAAATATTATTGGTTATTTGCTGAAAATTAAAATTAGATAATACTCATAAAATTGAAAAAGAAGGACAACAAGAATACCATGAGACTGCCTGGATAATGATTGGGGTTTCGAATTGGACTGAAACCCGTTCACTGAGATGGTTATTATTGAACAACCAAGTATTGCGACTGAAGTCCTAGGGAGCTCTAGTAAGAGAATCAGAAGGTGGGTTTTGGTATGGTTCTTGGATTATGCTGTAATGGGTAAATTGTTGATCCAAAATGCTAGGAATGACCCATTTTGATAGTCATTTGTATCTCCTTTGGCTTTTAAGGTGGGTGGAATAGGTGAGGGAGGAGAATTGATTGTTCATTAAGTTCAAAACTTGCCAAGATTGCCCTCAAGTTCATAATCTGTTCTACCTTTGCATCCAGGAAGATTAGGGTATTGTCTGCATACTGTAGGTGAGAGGTTCATCTCTACCTACCTTAAAACCCTCTAGCAGACCCACTTGACCACTCCTTTCTAATAACAGGTTCAAAATCTCCATCACCAAAACAAACAGCAAAGTATTTGTCATAGGCCTTCTCAAAATCAATTTTGCAGATCAGACCTGGTCTACCACTCCTTAATCGTGAATCAAAATACACTCACTAGCCACTAAAACCCCATCCAGTATTTGTATCCCTTCTACAAAAGCCATTTGAGCTTCCCCAACCACCTCATGCAACACATGCCTTAGTCTTTTAGATATAAGCATGATGATCATTGCCCGACTCATCAAGCGGTCATCATGCTTATTTTACCACTATAGAAAAAAAATGTTGACAGAAGTTTCCGTGTGTTCTTTTGGAGCGGTTATGTTGACAGAAGTTTCCGTTGAAATTTATCAACGAGTATGCTAGGAAATTTATACACTTGAATTAATGCCTTACAATTTTAGAAGATCTTTTACTACTTGATCACTGATCACCTCTTTTACTACTTTGAATTAGGTGCTGCTTTTTGGGAAGTACATGTGGAGATATCTTTTGTGTTTGAGGAGCCTTTAATGAGGCCTTATGGATGTTATCGAACAACTGGGGATGCTGTTGGTTCAAGTGTTGCTTGACTAACTTCATTGGTAAGTTTTTTTTTTTTTCATTGAAGTTTATTTTTCTTACCTTTGATTTACTGATTTTTATTTTCCTTTTGTAGGTTGTAGAAATGTGATCTTTAGACAAATATGCACTAGGAAAAGTTTTTGGTTCAACAACAAAGTAAGTTTCTATTACAATTAGTGAAGATGTTTTATTTCATTCCCAATTGGTGTGTTCATTCCTTGCATAAGCATTGATTTAGGTGGGATTGGGATTTCCTATGAAAAGAAAATAACAGGAATGGTGGATTGGGATTCATTCATTTATTTCATATGATTATACACTTGAAAACTGAGCTAATTAAAGTGAAGGTAGTTGATAATTAAATTCTTGTGTTTTGTGTTTAATGTTGGCACTTCCAGCTTTAGGTATGAGAAATGATTTGCTGCTTGTGAATTTGCTCAAGGGATCATGATGAACATCAGAAGTACTATCTCAGAGGTTTATTGAGATGAGTAATGAAGTTCTGGATTTTTAATGCCAGATGACTCTCCATGATATAGAAGAAAATAGATCCAAAGCAGTTTTCTCCATAAATGGCATGATAACTTGATCATTTGATGACAAATCTGGCAGTGGAGTAGAGGCTCAACTTGGCCTTTGAGCTGGCTTCAGGTTTTGGTTGAAACATAATACCCATAAATCTAATATTGTAGGTTCAGCCCTGCTAAGTCTACCATCAAATGGTGCTGTCAAGATTCCCACCACCCATAAAGTCTCAATCTATCTAGCCAAAAATTGAAGAAGATGCAGGGGAGATTTAAATTTTTGAAATAAGGCAAACTTAGTTGTGGGGCCAACTATTGTTGCCCCTTGGGGTTCAACTCATATACCACACCAACATTCATGTCATGTATAACCTGTTTGTCACAGGAAACCACCTATACTAGTTTATAATAGATAACTTGGTTTGAAGGATTTGGCTCATAGGAAAACCACCCAAGAGAAGCTAAAGATGCATGAAATAGGAACAATTAATTATCCTCCATCGAATGATCAAACTATATACATGTCTTTACCAATTTCAGACTATAGAATGAGGCTATGATTCGGAGGTTGAGATGGATGAGTAGAAGTTCGAAAAGGATGAAATCATAAATGAATGTATTCATGGGAATGTATAGATAGTCTCAATACGTGAAAACATGATAGAAAAGTAAATGGAATGGTTGGGCTTGTGAGAGAAAGACCATTGGCTGCAAASGTGAAAAGGAATGATTTTGAGCGGTGACACAACTATCTTGGTTTGCAAGCTTTTAATGAATAAGGCCCCCATGAGAGTCTTTGCTTGGCATCATATTTGAAACTCTGACCATTGTTGGACAGTGATAGTGTTCTCAATTTATACATCTGAAATGCATACTGAGAGTGATAGATTAGATGGAAGATAGTAGTTCCTTGGAATCATTTAGTTTTCTTCTTAGTGTTTGAAAGTCGATTTACACCTTTTACTGCATAGTTGCAATTGAAAGAAGATTCCAAAATTCAAACTTGCAGGGTTTTGACAATTAGGGATAAGAGCATGCATCCTTGAGGCATTGCCATATTTTGTAGAATATAGTGGGGTAGGTTGATTTTGTGTTAGAGACCTCTTCAGAAATAGCTGTGCTTAATTATCCTTCCATGGAGTACCAATTGATTCATTTCAGGCAATAGAATTGGAACCCATCGCTCTTTAGCGATGTAGTTCAATAGATGGATGGCAATTCCTACTAGACATTTAATGCTCTAAGAACATCTAGAAAACAAATAAATATTTATAATAATTTAGGGGTTATTCAACAATATGGTTGGTTTTGTTTTTCAAAACATAAAACAATAACTACCATGTCAGAAAAATATTTTTTTATAATTTTTCTGATGTGGCTGTTGGTTTCTGCTGACATGGCAGCATGGGAGTTATTTAATGTTTTCAAAAACAAAACCAACAATGTTGTCGTATACCCCCTTAGTTGAGCACCATGGGGCATATAAATTTCAGGCCAAAAGTCTTTACCATGAATCAGAAGATAAAAAAGAATAAACTTTTTTTCAGTCATTTCTTTTGAAACAAAAAAATCAAAAAAGTTGCGGACATTACTTCAATTCAGTGTGCTGTAAAGGATGATATGTACTTTTGGAGAAAAGACATGGCTGATCCAGAGCGCCCCCCACCCCACCCCATCTAATGGACAGTTTGGATCAACTACAAGATTGTGTTGTATGGGATATTTGCAACTGTCCTGAACATTCTCCTTGCTGTCTCTCTACTAGCCCCCATCACACAGTTGTACAGTTTTGGGGTTTTGAATATGAACATGTAGATTGGAATTTCAGTTGCCTTGCTCCTTTCTTCTCTAGTCGTCATTGCATATGTATATGATTTAATCAATGCCCTTCAATACAATGCAATTGCTAGGAGATACATGGTACTACCTAGATCTTGACGAACGTCTTGATGGATCACAACAGTGTCTAGATTCTCATCATTCTTGGACATATCCAAGGTCAGAGCTAGGGGGCCATGCTCCTCCTTTGTAAACATTGGGGGTGGTAGCCTTGTATATAGGTGTCACCCACACCCATCCTAACACAGGGGCCCTCTCATAATCATTTTAAAGTTTATACTTTTCTCCTCCGAGAAAAAAAAATGAATGAATGGAGAATGCTGGATATCCAACCCTGGTCATATCAGGAGATGCTTTATTGCATGATGGATCCTTCAAAACAATTCTTCCCTATACAGTGAACAAAAAGCTACAAAAGACTGGAGAGTTGCATTAAAAAATATCAGAAAGGAGAAAGAAGCATCCCTTTAAGAGCAAAACTCCATCCATTGTTAGTCTACTAGTGTGGTGCATTTGATACCTTGAAGTGCTGAAGCCCTAAATGGTTACTCTACAAACACAAGTGCAGAGATATCTTATTTGAGATCCAAAATCATTTGTTATGTGTTAAAGAGTACTAGTTGCTAATCTTCTTGCTTTGTCAAGATGTTCAAGCCTCTAGAACACGATTCAAAGCAAAATAATAATATCAAACTGACCCAATTTATCATTTATGACTCACCCCGTAGACATTAACAGTAAATGTGGTTTTGTTGTTCCGAAGATCTAAATTTACAAATTATGAACTGTTTTGGACATTGGAGTCCCAAAATCAGGAATTGTTGGGCCTGTTAATGGCTATAATGTATAATTCGTTGGGAATGATGGGTCTGGCCCATTTGATCTGCAGATGATGATTCCTAACAAGGCATCTTGGAGATTAGCATCTTTATAGCGACTCTGGATCTCCTGCCTACAAGAATTCTGCCCACGCCTACCCATAATACGCTACCTACCGTGAATTGGGAACATCTCCCCCTGCATAATACTATGCAAAGGATGAGACTCTCTCCAACATGGGCAGAGTTCTCGTGGACAGGAGATCCGGACTCCATTATAGCACATGACAGTTGAAACGTTTAATCCTGTACTGTTACTTGTACTTGCTGGTCTTAATTATACGTGTTTTGTCTTCTTCCAACATTTGATGGATAATTGCATAATCAGAGTTAACTTACACAATTCCTTGCCCATAGATTTTCATTTTGAATATTTTGATTTGAATGAAATTTGCCAAAATTTTCATAATTAACTGTTGTTTTTTTTTAAGATTTAATAGACTTTCTCACCATATTAGTATCATGGTGAAACCCACAGTTTCTTGACTGGGTTTCACCATGATACTAATATGGCCCATGATCATTGGTTTGGTGAATATTATCATAGCTCATATTGTCATATGAAAGATTTTCAAATATGGATAGTTTGGCTTTGTTATCCTATTGGGTTTGAAGTGTGAACAAACATAGACCTACTCATACCTTGTGACTAGACCTATTCATGGGCCGGGTGGTCCGACGGGCCGGCCCGGCCCTTAGACGGGCTTGAACAGGTATATGGGTCCACGGGCTTAACCTTGGGCCAAAAAGCCCAACCTGCAATAAATTTGAGCCGGGCTCGGGATTTGCCAAAATAGCCTGGCCCGAGCCCGGCCCGGCCCAACCTATAATTAAACCTAAAAACCCTAGTCGAATACCCCTCTTTTTTTCACCTCTTTCCCTTATTTTTCCAGTCGAACCCTTTTTTTTCACATCCTCTTTCCCTTTTTTATATTCTTTTTTTAATGTAAATAAATTTTGAATTTATATTCTTTTTTTAATGTAAATAAATTCTGATTTATATTGATTATTGAATAGGGAAAAATTCTAATTTTTTTTATTAGGTCGGGCTTTGGGCTCAGGCTCGGGCTTTGGGCCCAAGTTGTAAGTCTGTTGGTTGGGTCGGGCTTGGGCTCGGGCCTAACATATTTCCATTAATGGAGAGTAAAAGCCCGGCCCGGCCCGTCCCATGAACAGGTCTACTTGTGGCTTGTTAGGAGTGCAAATGAATCGAATGAATGGCATGCCTGTGTTTGTGAGATCTGATCGGATCTTCGAATTTGAAACCAATCTAAATCAAAAATGAATTTGAACATATTGGACAGTCCAGAAATTGAATTGGACTGGTCCAAATTGATCCAAAACATTATCCATTTATAATGGACTCACATTGGACTGAATCGAATTGGACCAAATTCAGTCCAATTGACACCCCTGGTTTAGGTTGACCACGCCATCCTTATCTCATGGTCTAAATAGGACTTTTATGGAACATAAATTTGAAATATGGACAACTTGTATGAAACATAAATTTGAAATATGGTACAGAAATTTAATAGATGCCAATTGGCTTAATCCTACTACTGTTGTTACGAGATTTGGTTTTTAGTTTTTAGTCTAGAGGAAGTTCTTGGAGAATTAATATGTTAAATCCCAATTCCGGTGATTTTCATGAATCGTTAGAAATGTTTGAGAAAAAGTCTCAAAGTATAAGCATTACTCCAGATTTCCTACTCACTTTTTATACCCAGTCTAAATCAGGTGAGAACTGTTAAAGATACAACCATAAACTTGTATGCTGTCCTAGAAAAAACAAATAGTGAAGGCACACAAAATAGTCCATTTGCAACAATGATATAGTATCTGTTATGTAAGATTTCTTTCTATTTATCTATCTATCTATCTATCTTTCAGTCATCTATTATAAGATCCAAAAATATAATATTATATCTAGTTTTTATTAACAAGATTTATTTGTTTTTTCAGAAAATTGTTAACATGGAGGGTATTGAAGATATACTTTGGATTTTGATGAAGACTTTTGGACATSATAGAGCGAAGTGATTCTTTTGTTATATTTTTTGTTGTTTTTTGGACCATCCATTATGGATCTATGACCTGAAAGTGACAGTTGCATATATAAACATTTTTATGATAAATTTGTTTTATATGAAAATAGTTGATTTGGTTAAATTTTATAATTATTTGATTTTTTAATTAAATATATAATATGCATTTGATTTAAAGGGCATGATGAAATTAATATTTATTGATATAGGTCCATTTACAATTACATAATAAGCAGCATCTTTTTTGTTGCTTCATTTTATTATTTTTTAGCATGTGTGTATAAATATGTTTAGACATTTAGTGGCGCTTGTAAATGCCACTAAATCCTAAATGAATAGAATGATTAAGATTTTTTAGTGGCCCACTATACAGATAAATATTTTACAACATTTAAAAACGCCACTATATAAAAAAATAAATGTTATTATATTGTTATTGCTAGCTTTTATGGTAGCCTTCTAGTGGCACTTATAATTGCCACTATAGCAATTGCTTTTTAGTGACACTAAGAATTGTCACTAAATGTACCAATAAATGCCATCATTAAATTTAAAAATGGCATTTGAAACTGCCACTAAAGGATGAATAAAACGCCACTAAAAATAGTTTATATGGGCGTTTATATAAGTGCCACTAAAATTTGGATAAATGCCACTGAAAATAAGTTTTATTGGCATTTATTTAAGTGCCACTAAAAGTCCGATAAATGCTATTAAAACTTTTAACGACTCAGATATAGGTGGCGTATTTTGAAAACGTGTAATAGCCTTTAGTGGCATTTTTAGTTATCTTTAGCGGCCGCTAAAAATCACTTTTCTTGTAGTGTAGGAACCAAAAACAGTTGGAACAATTGTCAGGATCCAAAATCTCCTAAAAACAAAAAACATTTAATCATGCCGCTAAGAAATTTCATTTGTGCAGATGAAAAACACAAACATGCCTCAACCAACTTGTTTAACACATAATCTTTGATTATAAATAAATTTGCTATTTTACAACTAAGAAGTGTTTGCTGCAAAATAAAAACAGGTGTTGGAAGCAAAAAGAAGAAACTTAAACAAACTTATCAAAGCAAAGGATGCCTAACTTATTTGCTAAGAATTTATGTTGTACGCTTTCCAGTTCCATTTACTAGAAGTATTTCTAGTTCATTAGTCTATACAATTTCTAGTTCAAACATCTTACATATTGAAATCAAACAGATAAAGAAAAAACAGGAAAACCCTCAATCCACAAAAGATAGATGATATCGGAAGAARGCCTCTTGATTTTATGTTTCTAACCACCAACTTCTTAGAAAAAAGAAAAAAAAAATAGACAGTGCAGAGCTACGAAGGAAGGAGAATCGAAGGAACTCACGGAGATTCTTGGAGATTTGGAATCCTAAACTAGCACCAGCATCCGTTCTTTTAATCTAGCACCAACATCCGTTCTTTTAATCTAGCACCAACATCCGTTTTTTTAATCTAGTTTCATTCTTCTTATCTGCTACAGATATTAATTTCCTCATTCTGCATTATAGTTTCTGATCCGCTAAATCGTTTGGAATAAAGCGGGAGGAGGTGAAATGGTTATTTTGAAGGAGGAGAAAGATATTAGAATCATTTTTCTTTCAAAAATTGATGTCAAACGAACTAGATCAGAAAGAAAAAAACTAAAATCTCAAAGCCCTAAAATGTTCTCCGTTATCGTGTGACTGCTTCGATACCATGAACCAAGGAGGAGAAGCCGAACTGAGCATCATAATTTGCATTTTGGGCAATAAGAAATTAAGAATGAAAGAAAACAATTTAAGTGTCGTAAATTTTGGTTAATACCAAAATTACCCGTAGTGGCATGAAGTATAATAGAGGCATCTATAAGTGCCTCTACATAAGCTTATCTGAACTGTCGTAATTGACCTTTTATAGAGGCATTTTTTATCAAAAGCCTCTCCCTAAAGCCTCTAAAGCTAATCTTTCCAATAGTGCCCCAAACACCATTCTAATGACTAGGAGATACTTAGGAGACTTATGCAAATTAGATCTTAATTAAAAGAGTTGAGAATTTTGTTTTGTCAAGGGGACTGTCATAAGCAAGTTACACTAGGTTTGCCTGTACCTCTTCCTCTAGTTATTATACATAAAGATGGGAGAAGAGATAATAGAGGGCTAAAACGCATCCTAGGATTCGAGTTTTCTCCACTACCTCAAAGAGTTCATAACAAGGGAGCTAAACACGCTGAGGGCTGAAACTGTCACAAATTTAATTACACGGGAGAGTAAAGACTGGTCATACACTAGAAAAAACTCAGCAGCTATTGCTCCCAACATCACAACCCAGTCAATTTGGATTGTTACTTTACCAAATGGACTCTGCAATTAGATTACAATAATTTGATCAATCTCCACAACAAGATGCAACAAAAAAAATCAACAATCTTTTTGTAACTTACTTCCTGTTTGGATCATTCTCAGTTTTTATAGAAAGCCATCCACGGTGGTGAGTCAAGAGGTCATTTACCTTTCCAACTTGCTCTTATTTTTGCAGAAGATGTGAAGCTTTAGGCCTTTAGAGGGCTTTCAAATGCCCATGCAAAGCTTTCATCCCATTCGACAGAAGGACAAGTTGATACAACCTGAATACCAAATGACAAGAGTGAGGTCAGTACATTTTATCCATTCATGTTGTAATCTTTGGCTGCAAAAAGTAAAAAGAAGGTTAAAAAATGAGGTTTAATTCAAGAGAAAATAGAAACTCCAGATTCAAGGATGGGCTCCAATATAATATTGTGAAGTTAAATGTTGCAAGATATAACAACTTAACTCTTAATCTGGCACTCTTAAACCCACAGTTAAAGAATGATAGAGTGGCCTTTCAATTGGTGGTTCCCCATGGTCTGCCACCTCCATGAAGCATTACAGATGACAGAAAGTCTCATGAAGCACATATTTTTATCAAAATAAATAGTGATGATTTAATTAGTGCCCTCTATTTGAGCAATAACACAAATGCCCTACTTTGTTTATTATTTCATTGGCTTGACAATTCAACCAAAATAGTTATGAGCTTTCTCTATGTTTTGAGCCAATGCATGACAAACAATAACAGGTTTCTCATGGGTCACTCTAAAACCACCTCATCTGATCATCAATCTCATTCTAAATGTCACCAAATGAATGTAATAAAGAAAGTTGCATGGTTGCCATGGTTGTCAAAGCAACAAGGTGAACCTAGGCCTGCCCTTTGGCCGGGTAATTTGCATTATGCACTCAACATTAAAATTTTCAAAATCCTAATATTTGAGAATTTTCTGCATGAAAATTCTGTTTATTTGGGGTGGGAGACATAATAACAAGGCATGTGACAAAATACTCACAAACAGCAAAGCAAGCATATGGATTCTCAAATAATCAATTTCATAGATATGACAGCATACTCAATTTATCAAGTTCATGCAAGTAATATCATACTCGACTATCTAGCTTATGTCAAAATGCCAAATTTATGTCATATGAATGAAGTTGATTAAATGAGTATAATGTCAATTCTAATATTAAYGAATATGTATTGTCTTATTGCTGCACTACATAATATCATTTCTTTAACTACTAATAATCCAATTCACATACAAGCTACATAAGAAAATGTAAGACAAATTAAACAAATAGTGGTATGCTTTTAAAATTTGAAAAACAACCTAAGGTTTTAGACTTTATGGATGAATTAGAGCTGAAAGATGATATGTTGCACAACACACATGCAGTATCCAGTCATTATAAGAAACATATTGCTAGACACCTAGATAACTGCCTAAAGTGTAATGCAAGCACCATTCTTCAAAAGGACAGTCATTATGTAAATATCTGTCAATAGTTTTCAACAAGATTAGCAGAGATGGAGCATCACTATAAGGAATTGTCTCCTTTGAATGCTAAATTTGTTACACTGCATCACCAAAGTCCTAATATGACTGTCTTCTAATTCCAAACCATATACAGAGCAAAACCAAACTGGTACATGGATCTCAGTTACAATATATTTACAGCAATAGCAAGGAAACTATAAATTAAATATGTACATGGGAGGGAAAAGAACATAAACATAGCTACCACTGGCAGTTATTATATTAAACCTTCTATTCAAAAAACCCTGTTTCATCAAAATAAAGGGTTCGTATGGTGGAGGTTCACATTCAAACTGGTTCAAAGCTTTCAAATTAGACAACTATGAAAAGACCTCTATGCACAAAATAAATCCTTCTTATGTGAAGAAGCTTTTTCCTTTTGACATTCAGAAGATTGTTCGCTCCTAGCCAGTTAGACTCATCTAAAGCCAATACAGCATAGAGATTGCAAAATTGAGTATCAAAAATAAACACATAAGTAAATAAATAAATAGACCAAAGAAACAAATAGGTAATCCCATCCAGACCTTGTTATTTCATACCTGTGAATGAACCTAAAACCTGCCCTTTGGATCCCTTCATTTAATAATTGGGTCCAACCTAACCCCACCATTTTTGCCAACATTCCAACTTATTCCATGTGAATTCAGCCAAGGATATGGCTATTTGTTGTAAGCTCTTTCTAAGGCACTCATAAGAGCAAGAGCTACACACCTATACAAGAGTCCAGACTCTAGAGTCTAGATCTAGTAGGCAGATCCTGTTCACTTGGTGAGCACTATCTGATCCACACTGCCCTTGTACAGTGTTGCGGATGAATATGACAAACATTCTGTATTGTTTTTTGGAGAATCAACACCTCACTACAAGCTATAGTGAATCTCAAGACTGCCATTATTAAATGGAAGGGAAAAAGAAGTGGCAACCACTTTGAGGGCCACCTTCGTATAAAGATAGATTGATTGGATTTATTTCAATTTCTCATCCACCAACCATGCTAAATCATTCAAATCCCCAATGACCATATCGTTCAAGCTCTTACCTGCTAGGGTCTGGTACATAAGTCTGGTCATCTCATGTCCTTGATTCTCTTTCTCTTTCTGCTACAGCTGCTCCTTCAAAGTGGATATCCTTTACCAAAGGAATCCCTCCTGGTTCAAACCTTGCAAGCACCCGTTGGGCATCGGATATGGAGGGCCAAACGTCTAGACATTTACCATAGAGACTGTAAATGATGGCACAAGCACTGACACCACATAGGGTGCTAAGTTCACTCACATTCTTCATTAAACCATTCTTCCTTTTCTTGAAAGTGGTCCTAGCTGATTCATTAGAAATCAGTGCAAACTTAACCTTCTTTCCAGCCATGGTTTGGGGCCTTAGAGCGAAGGAAACAAAAAGGGGTAAATAAGAATTTGGGGCTCTCTCTCTCCCAACCTTCTTACACGCTCCCCTATTTGCGATGCTTGCAACCCTTTGAGGCCGAGCTCGTACTCCACGATATTCATGAGGGCCTGTGCAGCAAACACTTGGGGGATAGGGCTCTCACCTAGAAAGCACTACGATAGGAGTATTATTGGCCAACGATGAAGGCAGATGCGATCGAACTCATCAAAAGATGTGACAAGTGCCAGAAGCACGCCAACATCCACCACCAGCCCGCTGCTGACCTCAAGTATCTCACCAGCCCGTGACCCTTCGCACAGTGGGGGATTGATATACTAGGACCATTTCCACCAGCAACTGGACAGAGGAGGTTCTTGGTGGTAGCAATCGATTATTTCACTAAGTGGGTAGAGGCTGAACCCCTTGCAACGATCACAACGTGGAATGTGCAGAATTTCTTTTGGAAGAATATAGTATGCCATTTTGGTTTACCCCGAGTACTCATCTTTGATAACGGCAAGCAGTTCGAGGATATCAAATTCCAAAACTGGTGCAAAGATATGGGCATACAACAAAACTTTACCTCGGTAGCGCATCCTCAATCAAACGAACAAGCGGAAGTCACGAATAGAGCTATTCTTCGTAGACTAAAGGCACGCCTAGACCGAGCTAAGGGACTCTGGGCAGACGAGCTACCCAGTGTACTATGGGGCTACCGAACCACAGTGAAGACCGCAATAGGTGAGACCCCCTTTAACCTCACTTACGGCACCGAAGCAGTAATTCCCGCCAAGATCGAGGTATCCACGCTATGCCAGGAAGCATATGACGACGAAGCAAACAAAGATGAGTTGCGCACCAACCTCGACCTATAACACCAAGGTCAAAAATTGGAACCTCCGTGTCGGAGACCTGGTCCTCCGTAAAGTTATGGTACGTGAGCCCGGTGTTGGTAAGCTCAGGCCAAATTGGGAAGGGCCCTACCGAGTAAAACGGGTGCTCGGGGGAGGAGCATATGAGCTCGAAACCCTAGAAGGGAAGCAGATACCTCGAGCTTGGAACATCATCAACCTAAGGAAATATTATCTATAATTGCCGAACTGGGAGTGGACAACAAGTCGCCCTCTTAGCCTAAGGGCCAAAACACCGAGCTAACAAAAGGAGCTCGGCACTATAAGGCCCAGTCGCCTCTTCGACATGGGCAAACTCCAGGAGTGGACAAC